GTGGAAGTGAGAAATAAATCATCATTTTGTATGTTTTTCTCAGAATTGTTTTGCTGCTGAATTTTTTTGTGTTTCAGTCACACAGGATTAGTGGATCCTGATTGGTGACCCATCCTTCCAGCAATTGATCCCATGTTGGGACAACAGGAAAATTAGACTATTGAGTAAATTGCCCAACCTCACATTATACAACTGAAACCTACCCTTTTCATAGCCCCGGTCCGATGGCACTGGGTCAGGCCTCAACACAATCCTCTCACCATAAGAGATCCGCTCAACTGTGGTTCCAGGCTCTAAAATATCAAGTGCACATCAGTATAAATCCAAAACATCATTTGGAAACAAACAAAAAAAAGTACTACACGCTGCTCATACCATGACCATGACCATAATCAACCGTCTTTGGAATAACCGGCACTGCAGGTGCAGGGAATGACGGCTGATAATGTGTGGCAGTAGATTTTATATCGAGAGGCACAGATTCAGCTGCAGTTGTTTGAGTTGTTGCAGTCATACCCTGGGAACATATGTGATATTAGAATGATCTAACAGTAAAACTAAAAGAAAATGGAGGAAAAAAATTCTATGTATTGTATTGTATTTTATGAGAAAAGAGAAAACAAGGAAAAAATATCTAAATAGATGAAAACAAAACAGATGGGATTTGAATCAACATAATCAATTATCTTGGTCTTTTTACATCAATGTAGTCACACCAAGCAGACTAAAATAATAAAATTGATTTTTATTTACCTTCAGAACATTCCTGACTTCTGGTGGAATCTCTAATCCAAGAAGACCAGCAGGCAGATCTGGCAGAACATCAGTTTGTGCAGGCTTTGATTCACTACCAGAGGTTTTACCCTCCTGCAATTCCCTGTGGACCCGAAAGGAATTGTTAAGTTAAAACAGATGATTTAACCATAAATTAAAACAGAAATGAATGTGTGAAATTATGGAGTTTCAACAAAAAAACCAAAGAAAATTTTTTTTTTTCAATCTAAGAAAATAAAATAATTGTAAATCACATGGATAGATGCTAGTTTTTGTTTGCCTAATCAATGGTAAATGTTTAGAAATTACCTTATTAGTTTAAGCTCTTGAGCAGCTTTCAAGATGATCTCATGTTGGCGTTGGGAAAGGGCAAGTACATTTGCTCCACTGGCTGCTTCAACTGAACTCTCAGGTAGGTTTGTGACAGGTGCAGCTGCAGGTGGAGGTATATGTAAAGGAATTTCTTCTCTTTGTTCCTCATAGCGAGGTCTACGATCTTCATAGTCTATTGGATACCCTCTCTCTGGCAGTGGAGGACGTCTGGAAGGCCTATCCCAGTCTGAAGGAGGTGGGTAAGATGGTTCATCCTTCCGGTAAGGTGGCTCGTCCCTGTATTCACGAATTCTGAGTTCTCCTCTCCCCCGCTCAAGTTCATCATATTGATATGGGTGACCTCTTTCTCTTTCCTCTTGCCAGTGGGGTTCTCTGAATGGCTCTGATGGTGCCTTGCGGGGGGGATAGTCCCTCTCTGAGAGTGCATGCTCTCTGTCCCACTCAGACTCATGATACCTGGCATCACGACGACAGTCATCAGGACGATAGTCTGGTGGTGGCCGACAGCGATACCCATCTTCCCCATGATCATAATCTACAGCATAACCCTCTTTATAACCTTCTTCATAATCCTCATGTGTTGGACCTGGCGGCCACATGCCTCTTCCTATTCCCCGACCCATAGGTCTCCTCCTCAGTCCATCCCTATCTAGTATCTCATGTGGAGGTGGTGGAGGACCTCTGCCAGGTGGTGGCTGCCAATCTAATTCTCCCTCCGTTTCCTCATCGTACATTGGCTCCTCCAAATGATCTATCATTTCATGAGGTGGTGGTGGCACACGACGCCTGCCTCGTCCTACGTCAGGATGCATCGCATGGCTAGCGGGTTCATGTCCATGGTACATGGGATGCATTGATGGATCCATATTGGAATCATCAGATTCCATTCCGTGGCCTAATGGCTCGTGATCTATTGGCCCATGTGGTGGGAAATGGGGGCGGCCTCGTCCTTGAAGCATGAAACCAGGGTGACCACGTGGGGGACGACCCCGACCAGGAGGAAATGGAGGTCTCATGCCTCTCATTGGTGGTCTCCTTTCAATCCAGTAAGGGTCTTCATCCTCTAAGTACTCATTTGATTCAGCTTCTTCCCAGTGTCTGTCCACTGGTTCTTCCCTTCCCATAGGTGGTCCTCCTCTTCCCATGGGTAATCCTCTTCCCATAGGTGGACCTCCTCTGGCCATAGGTGGACCTCCTCTGGCCATGGGTGGTCCACCTCTACCCATTGGTGGTCCACCTCTACCCATTGGTGGTCCACCTCTGCCCATTGGTGGTCCACCTCTGCCCATTGGTGGCCCTCCCCTAACCATTGGTGGTCCTCCCCTACCCATTGGTGGTCCTCCTCGACCCATAGGAGGACCTCCCCGACCCATAGGGGGTCCACCTCTTCCCATGGGAGGACCACCTCTTCCCATAGGAGGACCACCTCTAGGCATTGGGGGCCTTCCTCTCATCATTGGAGGCCCACCTCTCCCCATGTGGGGTCCCCCTATTGGCTCTTGATAATACTCTTCCTCTGTGAAGTGATGTTCTTCTGGCATCCACATTTCTTCTGGGGGCATTTCTGATTCCTCACCACCAAACTGTTCATGTGAAGGATCTTGCCAATAGTAGTTTTCTTGTTCTTCTTGCATACCCACATTTTCTTCAGGGGGCATGTAATCATAAGGCATTTCTCCCATCTCTTCCCCAATTGGTACAGTGTTTTGTCCCTTAAACTCTCCACTGCTCCTCTGCCCACGTCCTCGTCCGCGCACCTGGCTAGGCACTGGGGGCTGGCCTCGTCCCCGACCAGGGGGAGGTTTTGGAGGATCTAGTTTTGACTGCTTTTGTGGCTCTGGTTGGATTCCTGAGGACTTTGGAATCTGTGGTGGTTTGCTGTTTCCCAGTGGTCCATCTGGTTTGTGCGAATTTTGTGTTGTAGTGTTTGATGTAACAGCAGAACTAGTATTTACAGAGGGCTTACTGTTAACAGGTTCAGATTTTTCACCTTTGTCCAAAGTAACACTGCTATTTGAATCCTCAGGTTTTGTATCTGTTTGTAATGTCTGAGGAATTGGTTCACTTTGGACAAAAAAACCCTCAGTTGAAAGTAGGTTGTCATCTGTCATATCTTCAGAAGCGCTCTTATCAACCAATTTCAATTTATCTTTTTCATTTTCAGATAGCGGCTTATCAGACGATTTTTCTGGAGTCTTAGAATCTGGAGTTGGAGGTTGCGGAGTGACTGGTTCCACCTTAGGCAGCATTCCTTGCTGCTGTTTTTCTTGAAGCTTTGGTGGACATTCAAGACGAGGTGAAGGGCCAGTGAGCCTTGTGGAATCAAACCTAGGTGGCTGCCCAAATCGAGGTTGATCAAATCTGGGCGGTCCATCAAACCGTTGCCGTTGTTGATCGAATCTAGGTGGACCATCAAAACGGTGCCTTGGTTGGTCAAATCGAGGGGGACCATCAAAACGGTTAGGTGGTTGGTCAAACCTTGGAGGACCATCAAAGCGTTGTTGTGGGTGGTCAAATCTTGGAGGCCCATCAAATCGCTGTTGCGGTTGGTCAAACCTTGGGGGTCCATCAAATCGCTGATGTGGCTGGTCAAACCTTGGAGGTCCATCAAATTGCTGCTGTGGTTGTTCAAATCTGGGGTTGTTTACCCTGGGAAATAAAACAAAATAACAAAACAAAAACAAAAATTTTAATAAAAAAAAAACAAAACACCCCATTTATAGAAAACAATAATTACAATTAAATATGAAGCAATTTTATATAAAGATGTGCTTTTAAAAGATAAATATAACCAAATGTATAACTGAGCAAAACATAGTAACACATAGTAATAAAAGACAATTACAACTTACCGTGGACCCCTGACATTGTTGAAACTTGGTGGCTGGACAACTGGGGGAACTGGGGGTTGGACTCCTATGCCACTAGGGGCACTTCCTCGAACTGAGGGCACAGCAGGTGATTCTGAATGTGTTACAAAACCAGTAGGCTGTGGACCTTGAAGTCTTGGACCAACAGTAACAGGGGTCTGCTGTATACCTGGGTTTACTGACTGCTGCAAAGGCGTGTCTTGTACAGGGTACTGGCCATACTGTCCCATCATTCCACTATTATATTGGCTTGACGCAAACGGTACCATGGCAGTGAGAGTAGCCACTCTTTCTTGAAGGTGGGCATTTGTTGCATTCATCTGTTCCTTCCACTGTTTCCACTGATGCCCATAATCCTGTAGTTGGTCTTTATGAGGATAGCTCTGGAATTGCTCATACCACAGGGTGAAGGAGTGATTCCAGTCTTGGAATAGAGGTGTGAACTGTTGCTGTTGCATTTCATAGTGCCTCAGCTGCAATTCTGCAGACATTGACTGCAAAAGAGAATTTTGGTGATTATTTATTGCTTAATTTTACATGCAGATAGGATAAGTATTTAGAAAAACACATTTGGGTTTGTACCCAAATTGAATGAAGGGTTTAGGGCTTTGCTTTTTAATAGGAAATACATTCTTTTTAGAAACCAACGTAACTGGGTTAATGATTCAAAAGATATTTTATGGACAGAATTGAGCTATTCTTTAATTCTAAACTAATTAAGAAGGTAAAAGGTTGGTGTGAAAGCACAACACAATATCTAACAAACTACTAATGAAAACAGATCATCCTTAGGCTGCAAATATAAAACAAATCCCATGTGATATGCAGAAAGCATTAGTAGCAAGTTTTTACGCTGCTCTGCAAGTCAACAAGGCCTGGAGATTCACTACAGACAACAGAAGTGGATGATAACACATGAGCTTTTCCGTGGTGAAGACAAAAAGCAAACTATCCCCAAAAAACAGCCAAGTGTAGCACAAACTGCAACAGGTAAACATATAATTTTACAAGTCACCAAGAGAAGACTTTATAACTGTAAATACAGAAGGTTTAACACCAGGCGCAAACTATTCATCAGCCTTAAAATGGAGAATGGCTGAACCTACCAAAAAACAAAAAGCCAGACAGAATACAGAATAATCAGCAGAAAGCACAAAGAAAGCTGGGACCAGCTCATGATTCAAAGCATAACACCACCTATCAAACACAGTCGAAGCAATATGATACATGGGCATGCTTCACTATATGTTTAGGGATGATGTGAATCCCATTGACTTCAGACATGTATAAGGATATGCTGTGCGCTCATATTAAGCCAACTGTAACAAAGCTGTTGCACCCCAAGAGTTTTCCCACAATACCATCTTCTAGAGTTTAAAGAGAATGGTCCAAAAGTGCATAGGAGGAATCATGGAAGCTGTGTCACTGCTTAAATATTTCCATGCAACTGTACATACAGTAATAACAAAGTAATTACAACTGTACATACAGTTATAACAACGTAATTACAACTGTACATAAGTTATAACAAAGTAATTACTCAGACATTACACATGAAACTGAAAACCTATTGGCCATCAAGATGCCATTGGCCATTTACCTACCTGTAGGTTTGCAGGCTGTTGAATGAGGCGTTGGTATTGCTCCAGAATCTGCTGAAGCTTCTCATGTTGTTGCATGAGAGCCTGATATTGTAAACCGGCTCTCTGCTGTTGAACCTGTTGCCAGTGTGCTGCTGCAGCCTGTAACTGCTGAAGGCGAGCAGCTTCCTCTGGGTCTTTTGGTACTTCAGGCTTTAAACAGAAACAAGAAAAAAATTATAGCAAGGTATATAACTGTAAATCACAAATAATTTTTCTTAAAAAAAAGTGTATGCAGTTTGTAATGAAGGGAAGGAAATTACTTTACAATGAATCCAAGACACTACTGAGAACAAAAAGCATTTTAGGTAAGAGTGCCTTAAAATACTGCTCATATTGCTTAAATATTGGACATGGGATGAGTACTATAACTGGGAAAGAGCCATTACAAACACTATTACAATTACAATGGGAAGGATGAATGAAAGTTGTTGATTCCTGCACACTTAAGCCACTTATTTCATATTATGGCAGTTAACACAAACAATGGGATAAAATACACTGACCCGCTACTTCATTAGGTATACCTGTTTATCTGGTTGTTAACGCAAATTTCTAATTAGCAACTAAATGGCAGCAAATATGTATTTCAGTATGAGGTCATGGTCCAGATGACCTGCTGAAGTTTGAACTGAGCATCAGAGTGGGGACGAAAGGTGATTTAAGTGACTCAAAATCATGCATTTTCAATCATTTTCTTTTTTCTAGGGTTTGCAGTGAATGGTCCAAAAGAGAAATTATCTAGTAAGGGATAATTTTCTTCAAGGTGCCTTGTTGATGCCAGAGGACAAAGGATAATGGTCTGATTGCTTCAAGCCAATAAGAAGGGAACAGTAACTTAAATAACTACTTGTTCTTCCAAGATATGCAGATGAGCATCTCTGAAGGCACAACACTTTTAGGCAGATACACTATAGAAGCAGAAGACATGACAACAAGTTCACTGTACTCAAATGACCTCGCCGCTCACCAAATCTCAATCCAATAAAGAACCTTTAGGATGTGGTAGAATGGGAAATTCCCAACAATGATGTACAGCCACCAAATCTGCAGCATCTGTATGATCCCATCATGTCTATATGAACCAATATCTTAAAGGAATGTTTCCAGGAATTTGTTCAATCTATCCCATGATAAATTAAGGTCGTTCTGAAGGAAAAAGTGGGTCCAAACCAGTACTAAAAACGTGTACCTAATGAAGTATCCAGTGAGTTTATCGAGGAACACTACAATAATGGCAGAATGGGTAGTGTGACTTACTGTGTCTGTAAATGTAGGTGGTTTTCCTACATTTTCACTCTGTAAATTTATGTAAACAATATAAACAGTGTTTAGATTCAGGAACAAACTAATTTCTCTTAATACTGGTTGTGGTGTGTTCTTAAAGGCTATTGAATAAAACACTGGTAATGTTAACACTATGCAACTTGCTTAAATTCCCAGGCAAACGGACAAACATTTTATCTGTGACTGCTTCTTGAATAGTTGCTGGTAGAGGTAAAGCCTTCATTAATAATGTGCAAAATAAATAAATAAATAAATAAATAAAATAATAATGATCTCAGATTTCCACAGAATTCGGTGCAGTAATTGTCCATTACAGCATTCAAATGCATTATTATTTTATTATTATTCATATATTTAGTTTGACAAACCTATAATATAAACTTTGAGCACACACCAACCTTTAATTCACAAAGATAAAGCCATGCTGTTAAAATTTATTTTATGACTTATGCAATATTTTAATAGTACGTCGTATCGCAAATTATTTAAAAAAAAATTATCAAATTAGGAAACTTTTTATGTGTTACTCCTTATATATTATCCACAATGCAAGTCACATTTGTAACTGGAAGCCTTGACATGCTAGCCTCAAGCAGAAATCCAGATAATCCTACAGAGATGTGTGGGTTAAGCTCACTTTTAGAGTTTAGCTCTATTGAAAACTGATATCACTTACAAATTCCAACAGATTTTGCACTGCTTTCATTGTAGCAAACTAATACTAACTAATAAGATATTAATGTGCAAATTGATGGCGTTCACTGTTTATGCATCCAATGGTGTAGGAATTCTTACCCTTACTTCCTCAGGTAGTGGTGGCGGTGTTGGAGGTTCCTCTTTAGGCGGCGGCGGTGGTGGTGTGCTTTTTGGTGGTTCTAATGGAGGGGGCGGAGGAGCTGTTTTGCCTGGGGGTGGTGGCAGGGAAAAAGAGCCATCTCCATCTTTCTGATTCTGTTTGGCTCTCTCTTGCTTCAGTTTCTGCAGATTCTGAAGATGCTGTTTGTACCAGAGCTGCTGCTGCTCCTTGCAGAAACAATTACAAGAAGATCTGTTCAGCCATTTTCACACAATAATCTTGGACAATTACAGGAGAATTAGGTCTGAACAGTTTTCCTTTTTTCCCAGTAAATTACTTGCTTCTAATATCTTCACAGTGCTGGAAATACTCTGTGTGTTTTCTGTCAGGAAACTACCTAGGGGTATACAAGAATATCATCTGCATTACTCTCCTATCAAACATCACAAAGTCTATTTTTTAAGTATCTTACAGGTTAAGGATCTAATAGTCACCAATCTGTCTGCATTCTCACATGCACCTCTATTTGATAAAGATGGTGTACAAAAACACTTCAGAAGAACAACTAAGGAAACTGGTGTATGTGCTTGGGTGAAGAGTCTATGAAGAGGCTATTAACTTTCCCTCTACCTGGTATGCTTTGTGAACCATTTTGTATCATTTTTTTGTCCATAAGCCCTAAAATATATGCCAGATGTACCTTTTCGTACACGTTAGGCTACAGAAAAACAAACTTTTATCTGTGGCCACAATCCATGACTTGCCTATTCAAAGTGAAAGTGTTTATCCTCTGGTGCTTACATTGTTTGTATTTGTTCAATACCGATTCATACTTAGATACAAAAACAAAGGAGTAGGATTTTTTTTATGTTGTGCCTTCTTAAGTTAAGAAGGCTAGGAAGTTAAGAATATGTCACACTTCTCTTAAATTTATACTTCAGATTAAAAAGCTCAGGATATTTACTTGGTGGTATTATTAAGAATCAGGTGGCTTAACAGTAAAATATCAAATTAGGGTCCAAGCTTCCCTAGCTGAAAATTACATTTTAAAAATAATAATATATTGTAATCTTCACTAACTTGGGTTGAATGGTGTTTTCCTGTTAAATAGTGCAATGTACCTTCATACGCCTTTGTTATTTACTAATTTCATGTATATTATTAGCAATTCAACACTAAAAGCCATTACCTGCAACGGTAAGGATTTCTCGTCTTCTGCCGTGGGGGCCTCCTTGGGTTTGGGAGGACTGCTGTTCTCTGGTGGCTTTGATGGCTGCGGCTCTGGAGGGGGAGGCACAGGCTGGGTATCGGTGGGATGCGGTTGCGGAGGAAGTGGAGGAGGCTGCTGGTGACCCTGGTTGGGAGCAGGGGGTACTCTCGTCGCTGAAGTCTCTTCTGGTTTAAAGTAGGACTGAGCGCCAGCGCCGCTGTCTACATGTGCAGGTCCTTCTGGACGCCACGACGACCCCATGTACCCACCAGCGTGTGCAACGCCGTATGCAGGAGCAGCAGTATTGGCATTGTTGCCGTGTTGTAATACAGACTGGAGCTGTTTCTGGTGGAGCATCTGCAGCTGCTGCATCTGCTGGAGGTGCTGCTCCTGCAAGCTGGAAAACAACGAGCCGCTGGAGGAGGCCTCGAAACCGCTGAATCCGGGAGCCTGGCCAGTGTGGCTGCCAGCCAGTGGCTTACGGGGCCCAGCACCTCCATAGTTTTGGGACTGAGGTGCACCGTAATTCCCCCAGGTGGGATACATCGTTGAAAACAAAGCAGCACACGGCCTTTGTGGAGGCACATACAGCCTAGCTCAGAGCGGCTTCCAAAGCTAACAGCTAACGTCGACCTACGTTTTTTAAACAAAACGACGGCTACATTCTAATTTCCCCACTGAGCACCAACACATTAAATAAAGATATCAACACAGATTAAATAACAGCTATCCGTTGTAGGATATGATGTAACGCTGTGAAACTATATTAGAAAAATGTTCATACGGTTTTGCAGTTGAGCGACCGACATTAGACGGCACACATACTGCTGATGACGGAAACACATCACACATTAGATGATGACATCCGGTCAAGCGCTGAACGTTTAATCGTGATATATTTTTTAAGTTATCTGCAGTATATACATTTTTAACTTAACAATACATTACATTTTTTGTCTTTTGTTTGATCTGTAAAATAGTTTTATTTTTTGTTTTTTATTGTTGTTAGCGTCTGCTTCTTTTTTCTGATCATTATTATTGTTGTTGTTGTTGTTGTTGTTGTTGTTGTTATGATCTATGATAATGATTATATATTATCTGTATCAGTGTTGCCCATCAGTAATCAAAAGGTCTTTAGTCAAAGCATCTGTTTTAATTGTTGATATCTACCTAATCAAGCATTTGTACCATAATAGAGAAACAAGTTATTCTTATGGATGCAAAACACTCAATTAAATACATAAATAAATAAATGAAAGGCGTCTGCTTTTTTTCTGATCACTTGCTGAGTTTTCATGCCATCTCGGAACACATACTTTCGTTGCTGTTTTGTTCTATTACCACAAGAGGGAGACATTTACAAGCACATTCCAGCGTCGTCGTCGTCTCCCCCCCCCTCTCAAAAAACAAACAAACAAACAAAACAAAATAACATACAAAAGTCCAAACAAATTATTATTATTATTATCATCATTATTATTATCATTATTATTATTATTACTGGAAAAAATTGACCACTTAACGATTTTGGACTGAAAGGTCACACAATGCAAATTGTAAAAGCCATCCCATCACTAATTAGAAATATAAACCAACAAGAAGTATTCACAGAAATGTTTTATTACATTGTACTGAGTAAAAAATTCTATATGAGATGATATGAAAATACTTTTTTTTATTATCAATATTATTCTGCAATGTGAGTTCCATCCATCCATCCATCCATCCATCTACCCGTGTGTGTGTGTCCACAGACTGTATGTACAGTCTATGAGTGTTTTCATATAGTTCCGTAAGTTTTATCCATTGACTGAGAAACCAACTGTGGGAGTTCAGGCTGTGTTTGAAGTGGGTTTAGCAGCGTACAGGATGAGATCTGTGGTGGGTAAAGGACCAGTGACTTTAGGTTGCCCTTGAGGTCTGATACACATAAGAGTATTTTTTTCTTAAGATCACCAGTAAATCTGTATTAATTTTGACCAGAACCACTTAAAAATAATCGTTAAAGCGGATTAATCAAGCTGGTCCTGTTTAATGTCTCCCGTTAATTAGTTTGTCAGCAGTGTTTTAATATCGCCTAATGACTTCATATTTCACTGATGACATTCAAGGGGTGTTAAAAGAGGGGAAATGGCCCATTCAGGATTCAGTTCTTTCACTTAAGACGCCCTCGATGAATAAGACAAGGTCACGGAGGCCTAGCCTTTAGGGAGAGATACATTATCAGGGGATGGGGGTGGGAGAAATCCCATAGAGGAAGTTCTCTCCCCTCTAAAACAGCATGACGGGCACAATGTGATACAGTTCTGTCTTAGTACAATACACAGCACAGAGGATTCATGATAGAGCTTAGGGCAGCCACACTGGATTGGATGGCAGAATAACCCCACAGTACACAATAATGGTGACACTAGGGACCAATGCTTTTGGATAGGAGAAACGTTTGACGCTTATTGTCATATATATTTTTATGGTGCGTTGAAAGCTGGGTTGAAACTATATCATTTAAATATTTATCAACTCTTAGACATGTAAAGAAAGTGAAGAAGTTAGCCCCTTTTCGATCTTCATCAGCAGTTTAGAAAGCTTTCTAAGCAAGAACAAAGAAATCAGAAATCGTAAAGTTGTAGCTCACAGTATTGAGGACACGGCATTTTCTCTGAGATGAAAATCCTATGTTAAACAAAATGCTCAATGGAGGCTAATGGATCCCAAACAAGTCCATGCACTGCTTCCAAAATGCTTTGTTTGACAAATCAATTTTCCCATAACCCGGTGAGGAGAAAAGTGATGTGGATTGATCGCCCCCCCTGACTTTGTTTCCAGAATATTGTTTGATGGCTGGATAGATTAATTGGTATGACATTTGAAAGCCTTCTCTTGACTGTCAGCATCCGAGCCTCGATATGCCGATCGAACCTCTGTCTAATTGTCTCCTCTATAATACCTCAATTCACAAATTAGAGACGGTGCCTCTATAAACTATTCCCCGTGTAAGGCCCAAACAACATCACACTGCTCAATCAAACACTGGTTTGAATAGGAGCGATGCTGTGGACTGATAAGATAGAGTGCATTAAAGGGCATCACCTAAACCGCTGTGCCAGCACATCTTTCCCTCGGCACGGAAGATCCGAAATATACAACTCAGATCCCAGCAGCAAGTTAACAGACTCTGGACTCAACAGTCTGTCAAAGCTCACACTATCTGAATCTTTATTAATATCCTCATTTAAATTAGGACTATTAAAGGACAGAATAAAAGGGTAAATCATGTACATCACTGACCTTGTAGTGTAAGCATGTAGTTCTCTGATTTGCCTTGTAAGCGCATGGCCATGTTTTTGTGAGGTAAAAGTCAGGATTTTAAGCTTTACAGCTGACCCATGTCCATTCATATGACACAAAAGTAATTAAGTAATAAATAAACCAAGGGTGTCGAACTCTTAAGAAGTTTAACTACATGCTGAATCCTTCACATGTCTTAGTAAAAGAAATAATAAGTGTAATTTGAACAGCATGTCTCAGTTTTTCTACATGATAAAGAAATGCTGCTGGACTTAATGGAAGAAATCTGTCAGCACAACTATTTGGGCTTTGAAAATTACAGTCAAATTTTCTG